CAGCTTGACCAGTGGCAATATGTCAGCATGGCCTTTCTCAGCTAACCAACTATTAATAAAGCTCTCCACATTAAAGCTCTCCACACTCTATGGGATGCTGTGGGGCAAAGGTAAACTTGGTTCTTGGGACAGACTGGCCTGGCCTGAGCCAGTGCCACCCTTCCAGCCCAAAGGCCACCGGGGTTTGATTCAGTGACACCACAGTTCAGTCAGACACCTCACCAGGGCCTGCTCTGAGCCCTCCAAGGGACTCCGGGAAGATCAAGGAATGCCAGAATGGTTTGGGATGGAGGGACCAAGACACCATCCTGTCCCAGCCCCTGCCACGGGCAGGGACACCTTCCACGATCCCAGGAGGCTCCAAGCCCTGTCCAGCCTTGGGATGGGGCAGCCACAGCTTCCCTGGGCACCCTGTGCCAGGGACTAACACCTTTTATTATTGGGATATGATATGATTATATGGAATACTGGGAAGGATTCCTTCTCAAAATCCCACCTAACCCTGCCCCCTGGCAGTGGGAAACCATTCCCATGTCCTGGCACTCCAGGCCCATGTAAATCAATCCTGAAGAGCAAGGCCAGGTGCCCCTGAGACCCCCCAGGTGTTCCCTGAGTGCCCCAGAGGAACCTGCAGATGCCCCTGAGTGCTCTAGGCTCAGAGGTTCTGTGAGAGAGCTCAGACGTGCTGTGGGTGAGCTCAGAGGTGCTGTGGGTGCCCCTGAGCTCAGATGTGCTGTGGGTGAACTCAGAGGTGCTGTGGGAGAGCTCAGAGGTGCTGTGGGAGAGCTNGAACGACTGAGGGAGCTGGGGTTGTTCAGCCTGGAGAAAAGGAGACTCAGGGGTGACCTTATAACCCTCTTCAACTTCCTGAGGGGTGGCTGTGGTGAGCTGGGGGTTGGTCTCTTTCTCAACAGACAGAGCAAGAGGACACAGTCTCAAGCTGCGCCAAGGGAGATATAGGCTAGAATTAAGGAGAAAGTATTTTACAGAAAGAGTGGTCAAATACTGGAATCATCTACCCAGGGAGGTGGTAGAGTCACCATCCCTCAAAGAGTTCAAAAAAAGACTGGATGTGGCACTTGGTGTGACAGGAGAGATGGGGACTATGAGTTGACAGGTGAGAGGGTGTGGTTGGAGGCACGGAGGGGTACAGGGGCCAGGGAGGTGAGGGGTGTCATGGTGGCCTAAGGGGTGACAGGGGTCAGGTGGAGTCAGGAGGTGCCATGGTTGGTGACAGGTGGTGACAGGGGTTCAGGATGTGCCATGAGGGGTCCCAACCCACCCAAGTCCAGCACACGGGGCTCATGCCCACAGCACTGCCTTTGGTGGGGAGTGACAGGGTCGAAACGGGGTTGGGGGCCCCATGTCTCTGTCCCTGTCCCTGTTGTCCCCTGGCATGGGTGTTCCTTTCCCTTTTCCCTCCCACAAGTGGGGGTCTCCATCTCTGTGCCCTGTCTCCATGCCCAGAATGGGTGTTCTCAGGCTTGCTGTCCCCAGCATGTCCTGTCCCTGTCCCCAAACTCTGAGTGAGTGTCCCCACCCTCTGTGCCCTGTCATGGGTGTGCCCTGTCCACTGTTGGTGTCCCCATGGCAACAGTGGGTGTCCCCATCCCCCCAGGTTGTCACCTGTGGTGTCACCTTGCAGCCACTTGCAGGTGGAGTTGCTTAATGTCCCCTTGGACCAGAGCTGGATCCTCGCTTTTTCTCCTTCCTGGCTGACACTGATGACCTCAAAGGTCTAATATGGTGGGATCAGAACCTCCTTCTCGTCAGGATACTTGGAGAAATTCCAGATTGCTGCACCGTGGCACGTGTACACCTGGAACACCGTGGCAGTTTTTTCATTCTGTGATGCTGAAGAGAATTGACCAAACCGGAAAATGTCACCAGGCTTTGCCTTGAACCTGTACTTGCGCACCTCCCGGTACACATTGTGACACTGCCCATTCTGAGCCTGCCTCAGCGTCACCAGGGCCTGGGTCAGCAGGAAATGCAGCGTTTTGAAATGGAAGTTGTCCCGATATTCCTTGTTGGAGCACCTGGCCATGCGCACAGCATCATTGAAATCCTTGTACAGCTTTTTCTCCTTCACCGTGTAGGCCATGAGGGCGATGGCCTGGGCTGGAGATGACAGAGAGGACACAGGGCACTTCTGACCTCGCCACTCAGCTGTGGCATTAAGCCAGGCCTGGGCAAAAAGAGGATTCTGCTGGAACTCGGAGTGATTGAGGGCTGGCAGTTCCGCAATCATTTTAGTGCCACAGCCCTGGTACTGGTCATCGAAGGAGTCCAGGGCCATGTCCAGAGCGATCACATCGACAGCCGTGGTAGCCATGGCCATTGCCAGCAGTGCCAGGGTCTGAGCCAGGGGGGCCATGGCAAGGAGAGGCCACAAGGACCAGGGTGGGACACTAGGGGACACAGAGAGGACATGGGGGAGACACAGGGAGGGTTCATCAGTGAGGGACTGGGGAGGTGAGTGGGGTCAGCCCAGGGGGAAGAGAGGCACTCCTGGCCAGCAGACCCCAGGACATGTCCGGGTTTCCTGATACTAAATCCGGGGGTTACTTATGCCTCCGCAACATTCTGCAGCCCCAGGAAACCCACTCCCAATCTCACAGTACCATGAGTGAAGTCCCTGATGGAACTGGAGGTATCAGAAAGCTGGAATTCTTTATCAGCTCAGACACACAACAGATCTCTCCTGATCCTGCACTTCATGGGGAATTTGCCAAGGGGTATTTATCCATCCTAATTATAAATATTCATTGAAATATGTCCCTCACCTAGTACAGAATCTTCACCTCTCTTAGCAATAATTTGCATGGCTCCACCTCTTTCTCAAAATCCTTTTATGGTACTGGGGAGTCCTAAAAATGAGTTTTCTCAGTGTGGTTTTCAGTGCGTGCCTCAGTATGCCAGACGACCTCAGCTTGTACTTTCATTTTTGACAGACACTGCTTGTTCCGTGTTACAGAATTTGCCAAACACCCCTCACTGGAGTTCCCTTTATCTCTCTCTCCACACGTTCCAGCCCCATTGCTCTTCTGTGTACACACATTTACATCCTTTTATTGGTTTTTTGCTAGTTCTTCTTTAAGTGCTATCCAGCACCATTAAGGGATCTGAAACTTTCTATTCTCTCTCTTATTGCTCATCCCCCAGGAACCCAATCCCACGGTCCCATGTCCCCTCAGTTCCACCCGGTCCCCCTCCCCACTGCTCACTGAGTTGCTGCCACACCTCAGATACCAATTGGGGTCCCCTATCAGATGACATACCTGCTGGCACCTTGAGCCTGGGGATGATCTCTTGGGGGAGTGCCTGGGTGACTTTCCCGGCCTTGCTGGTGAGGCAGGAGAAGTTCTGGACATCCAAGAGGGGGTCCAAAAGCACCAGGAGATACCTGAGCCCGTGTCGGCATGGTAGCTCAGAAAATCCATTTGCCAGTTATCCCCAGGAGTGTTTCCTCCTTCAGTGATGCCAGGAGGTGATGGTTTAGCATTCAAAGGAACCTCTTATACAGCTTTTGTGCAAGTCTGTTTCCCACAGGCATTTGTCAATCCCCAAGCTGGTGTGCCTCATATTTTATTACGGCCACTTCTGTGGGCAGCTCAGCTTAGCTCAGTCACCCAGGCACTGCCCCAAGAGATCATCCTCAGGCTCAAGGTGCCTACAGAGATGTCTGTTGAGGGATTGTTGCAGGAAAATGGACACTGTGCCCAAGCCAGTCTCTATGGGATCTGTGTAGAATTTCACATTGTCCCCAATAGCTCAAAAACTGGAAGAGCCTACTCAGGAGAAAAACAAGTCCAGGATGTGAGGCACACTAAGAAGACGGAGCAAAAAAACCACAGCAGAGTGCATGAAGGCAAAACAATAAACCACAATGAGATGCATGAAGAAAGAAGACTAACCAATCAGCTGAAGGCTTGAGACGTGCATAGATAGGCTAAACTAATCATCGAGTAGCTTGAGGTGAGTGAACAGCAGAGCAAAGAACAAATACATTTTGTTCTTGTAATAAATTTGACTTCACTTGATCATATTGATCCTGGCGTGATGTCCCTTTGCTGATCCTCCACAGATGGCATCTGATAGGGGACCCCAAGTGGTATCTGATATGTGGCAGCAACTCAGTGAGCAGTGGGGAGTGGGACTGGGGGCAACTGGGGGGACATGGGATGGTGGGATTGGGGTCGTGGGGAGGTGTGCAATAAGTGAGAGAATAGAAACTTTTAGATCCTTTAATGTTTCTCGGTACTGCTTAAAGATGAATGGGCAAAAATCAACAGAAGGATGTAAAAGTATGGGCACAGCAGGGCAATAGTTTCTGGAACCTGTGGAGAAAGAGATAAAGAGCACTCCAGTGATGGGTTTTGTGCTAGCTCTATAACACAGAAGGAGCAGGGCCTACCCAAAGCAAAAGCTGGAGGCAAGGTCATGTGGCATGTTGGGGCACTCAGTAAAAACCACACTCTGTCACCCCGTTTTTATGGCTCCCCAGGACAATAAAACTTATTTCCTAAAAGAGACAGAGCAATGCATAGTATCTACAGGAAAGTGCTGGTTTCTGTATTAGATAAGGGACACATTTTCATGAATATTTGTAATCGTGCTGGAAAAAGACCCTGTGGCAAAGTTCCCCCTGAGCTGCAGAACCAGGAGAGATCTGCTGTGAGTCTGAACTGATCAAGAATTCCGGCTTTCTGATACCTCCAGTTCCATCAGGGAGTTCACTCTGGTTGATTTCGGTATCAGGGACTGGGCACCCTTGGGGGTGAACATGGGACTGAGGGATTGGGGTCTGGGGGGGGCACTGGGGGTGTCACAGGACCAGGACTGAAGTCCTGGGGTAGTCCTGTGGCCAGCAATGGGAGACACAGGACCATGGGAGTGGCAGTGGGGTACTGGGGGACTCTTGGGGGGCACATGGGACTGGATCAGGGTCCAGGGGTCCCCAGGGAGGTCATGGGACTGAGAGTGGGATTGGGGTAAGGGGGGGTGGGGACAGGAACAAGTGGGATCCATTGGGGACCCCAAACCTGGGGTTAGGGTCCTGGGGGACATGGGGTCACTGGGAGGGGTACAAGGGTTTGGGGTAATGGAGACACTGGGAAACTCCGAGAGGCAGGGACACAGAACGGTGGGAGTGGAATTGAGATTCTGGGGGTCACTGGGGCTACTGGGGGGGGTCAGAAAGTGACCCCTGGATTTGAGTAAGGGTCCTGCAGGGGCACTGACAAAACACATCGAGGGGGTTATAGGACTGTGGGGGTGGGATTGGGATTTGGGGTGTTTTGAGGACATTGGGGCATCCAGGAATGACTCCAGGATTTGGAATCAGATTCCAGGACATGTTCAGGGGTCATGTCCAGCTCTTTTAATTCCTCTCCTGCAGATCACCACATTTCCTAAAATAAAGCTTTTCCGGGAATTTTTGTTAGAGGCAAATCAAAGTTTTAGTTTTCAAACTTNCTCGGGACCCCGACAGTCTGGGAGCCCCCCCGGCAGCTCTGACACAGAGCCAGCCCGCTCCTGGCCTCAAACTTGTGTCCTCTGCTGCCAGCACCACCATGGGTCACCTCCATGGATTGGTCCCTGCCGCAGCCCCTGAGACCCTGCCGCTCATAGGGAGCGGTCAGACACTTCCCAGCCTTGACAACCCCAAACTTGGCATCCCCAGGTGCTCCTGACATTCTTTTTCCTTCTTTAGTCAACTTATCCTCTTTCTCTTCAAGGAGGGCCCGTCCTGCTAAACCCTTTCTGGACCCCAGTTCAGCTCTTAACAACCATGTGTTAAGATACTTTCCTGTCTTTCATGCAAAAAAAGACCTAAACACATTCACACTTCTGCTGTCTTCTAGCACCAAGATGTCTTCACATTTCAACATACCAGAGTCTGCTAACCACCCCCCCTACTTCAACTTCTCTCTTTCTTCTCTTCTTACTTTCTTTTTCTTTCCTTATCTTTCTTTGATCTAGTCAACTTTCTTTGACTAGAATTGCAATAACTGTTATAGCTTAAATACATACTGGTTAGCTGTGGCTTACTGGGTCTAACATCTTTGATATATAAGCTACTAGTTGTTTTTTTACTCTTCCTCACTCCTGAATTAAAATTTTATGAGCTACTGAATTTTCTGTATTTATGTATAAATGATAAAGAATTTTTCTAACAAGGGTAAGCTTAAAGCTGGTACTTAGGCTAGTTTTACCTTCACCTCTTTTAATTTAACAGTATCTACCTTGGTCCGTTTTATATCCTCTCCCTCTGTCAATTTTTCATACACATATTTTACTGCTTGTGTGTAGCCCTCAATCCATAGTCCATAATATTTCAATAATCTAAGTAGTTTTCTGATCTCCCTCTTTGAAGAGGGAGGGAGAAGGGATAAAATTCCTGCAATTCTCTCATGGTTGAATTTCCAGCTACCTTTATTTATTAAGTGTCTAAGATATGTTACCTCTGGTTCTACAAATTACAATTTCTATTTGATGCCCTTAATCCTTTTTCCCCCAGAAAATTCAAAAGTTATATAGTAGCTTTTCTAATTTTAACTTTGGTTTCTCCAAAAAAAAAAATAAAAAAAGTTTCTATTGAACTCCTTTGCTGGGAGAATAGGGGTATTATGAGAAGACATATAAAATTCTAATGTCTCATCTAAGTTTTTTTTTTAGTACCAGCTTCAAATTTTCCCATCCTTCTAAAGATATGAGGTACTGACTTACACATATGGGACGATTTTCTCTCTCAATTGTAACCCTTGTGGATAATACAACCTCAATTGTATCCCCTATTTCCTTCCCAGCCCAAACCTCCTTGTTGAATTTTTTTTTATTCTCTTGGCCTAATTTTAAATCTTTAAACCTTAGTTGTCATTTTCTCTTCTTGTGGTATAGCCTCTATTATTTTTCTGCAAACTTTTTCTTAATAAGTTGTTATCTGCCCTAGGCACTAATGAGACATCCTCCATCTAAATTTTAGTTTCTCCTTCAATTACTACATCTTTTAATGACAGGAACTGTGAAACTCTTTCATTTTGTTCCTGCTACTTTTACAGTGCTTTTGCTTAAACTATAACTTTTTGGAATATTTCCAATTCTTCTTCTTCATTCTTGGAAACCCACTTTTAAAGCTATCCCAGGCTCTAGATGGTAATTTCCCCCCCAAAAAATAGAGCCTAAGACCTCCCTATTCCTCCTCCTCTGTGCCCACCTCTTTTAAGATTTTCAGGTCTTTTGCCTGCTTAGGACAATTTCTCTAAGCAGTGGAAAAAGAGATGAAAAGGAACTCTAGTGCGGTTTTTGACAAGTTCTGTAACACAGAAGGAGCAGCGCCTCCCGAAACTGAAAGTTCAAGGTGAGGTTATGTGT